TATATATATATATATATATATATATATATACACATACATACACAAAAGTACCGATAAGAATACCGTTAAAGTACCGGATCAATAAGCAGAATCGGTAAGAGTAGTAATACCGTTAAAACCTTAACGATACCCATCCCTATTTATAATGTTACTAAATATTTCTAGTAAAGATAAATTCTATTCTTTTGAACTTTCTGTTCATCAAAGTATCCTGGGGAAAAAAATGTATCCGTTTCCACAAAAATGTGAAACAGCACAACGATTTTCAACATTGATAATAAATGTTTCTTAAATCAGCACAGTAGAATGATTTCTGAAGGATCATGTGACACTGAAGACTGGAGTAATGATGCTGAAAATTCAGTTTTGCATCACAGGAATAAATTACATTTTAAAATATATTAAAATAGAAATTGTAATAGCTCACTTCAGTGCGGGCTCGGCAGAAGTGCGCATCGAGGGCGCATAGCGGCCGCAAAGGGGGTGCTTGCGAGCACCTTTCTGAAAGCCAAAATGACGAATGGGACACCCTACGGTCTCGTGGTCTTAACGGACACACGTACGCGGCGGCCATTGTAAGTCCACAAGATCGCAAGTTCACATGAAGTGTGCCATTTGGGACCGGGCCACTGTCTTTATGAATGGGTCACTGAATCATTGACTTACTCGTTTTGTTCAAAAAGGTAGATTCATTCAATAACGAAACACCACTGTGTTGACCGGAGACACACAACAGTTCTGTTGTTGTACAAAATCAGTGTCACATTGCAATCGTGCTGATATTCGGGGAAACCAGGTCCCTAGGGGGCGATGAGGAGTAATTGTCCTCTAAAACCATCGGGAATTAGTTTGCCGGTACAACTCTCAATATGATATGACACTGATGGTACACCACAAAAAATCTTCAGCTTTTGGGTTTATTTTGCATCAAACACAAGACAACTTTAAGCAAATAGTGTTAAATCCTATCTAAATTCTAATTCTATTTTTATACAATAAAAATAAAACGTACTTGACTTAAAAAGCCTTGGACAATGCAAAAAATCTATGCATTGTTTTCCCTCATAGGCTCAAAAAGCACCTGATGGAGTTTGAACTTCACATCAAGCTTCACCGCCACACGAAAAGGGGCCTCGCGCACTCAATGTGCATGGCCGCCCACTCCACGAAGATCATTTTCGCCGCTTGCACCTTTGTGCTTGTGCGGATGCTGTGAGTATAAGCCAGGCTTCAGATTTCACTGATCACGTGAAGAGACTGAGAGAGGTGCTTTCAGTACGAGTGCTTCTGGTGTATAGCCTGGCAAAAAAAAAAAGCCTGGCTGTCTTTATATTGTTTTATTGACGGATTGTAGAGGTGCGGTTAGCGACACACTTCTCCACACAGCCTCTCTTCAAATTTGACATCCATGTTGTTTTTCCAGCAGATGCTCAGTTGGTGGTTTTGTAGCCTAGTGACCGAGCATACTTGTTCATGCAGTCACAAAAAATGGGAGGCATGCGGATGTCTGCAAAGAGCCTCCACGCACACCCTCCGATGACGATTTTTACATCACGCTTAATACTTGCCGCATCAGCACGAGCGCAAAAGTGTGCGCGGCAAAAATGATGTGAATACTGAGGGAACGATGGCGGACGGAAAATGCAGTAGTTCTTCCCATATGGGTTTGCAACAACAGTAAATGCAACAACAACAAATGTAATTTTTGGGTGAACTATTCCTTTAAACCATGGCCTCTATTGTTCATGAGCAGATAAATTGGAATGTAGCCTTCCATATGTTGGGAAGAAGGCCTCACCCATCTCACCCAAAACCTCACCCATCAGGAAGCCTGATTTCTAACAGTCAAGCTGAAACTTGTGGTAGTTCTCTGGCCCAGAACTGCAGATCTTTACTGACTGAAGGTTATGGAGGCCTTCACATGGTGCCAGTGCTGATTTTGGGTTATTTTCCTCCTCTGAGATGCAGTGCAATAAGATCATACAGAAAGGATGGGAGCGGATCCAAGATCTGAAACTGTACCCTCAGGCACTTTGTTTGTTAGTGCCCTGATGTGCATTCGGTAGCATTAGCCAGTCATCATTCGTAGCCTCCTCTGCTCTCAGTGCTGCACAAATGCTGAGACAGGCTGCTTTAGCTGCTTGCTCATGCAAACAGCATTTAGATACCCTCACTAAAAGTGGTTTTGCTCACTGACTCCGGGTGGCTCTGTTCAAGTGCATTGTGCTCAGCACAAACAGACCAAAGTGAGTAATGAAGGTGGAGATAGCTGCTGAGAGTGCTGAACAATTTATCCAACGTTCATTATGTTTTGAAGGGAAGGGTTTAATAAGCTATGCAATTCCACATTAATTTTCGTCTTGCTACTGACGACATGTGCACTCTTGCGGATGGCACGCCAATTGAAATTGTTACAGTTTTTCCTGTCAAAATGCCCAGATACATGAGTATATTTGTCCACCGTGGACAGTTTGTGCAGGTCTTGTACTCCTAGTTTCCTCAATAGCAACTCATTGACAGAAATATGTACTTTGCCATTTTTATTGACCATTTGAAAACAAACTCTGCATCCTTATTCACAGACTTCAAATCAAGATCTTTATTCTTATAAGACAGGTATAACAAGATCTTCAGTCTTCAGTGTCACATGATCCTTTAGAAATCATTCTGATACGCTGATTTGCCGCTCAAGAAACTTTTTAACATAATATTATCAATTTTGAAAACAGTTGCACTTTCATATTTTTGTGGAGACCTTGATACTTTTTATTCAGGATTCTTTAATGAATAAAAAAATTAAATAAAACATTTTAAAAGTAGAAAAAAAAATATTTTGTTAATCGAGTAATCAGATAAAAAAAATTTTTGTGGTAATACAAATAAACCTAAGTGAACAATAGACATTAAAATGACTTATATAATAGCAATAAGGCAATAATTGATTCAAATAAAATATCAAAAGCAAACTATCATATAGTTTTATTTAGGGCTGGACGATATGGCCAAAATTTATATCACGATATAAAAAGTTCTCTGAGTTGCTGCAGAAAAAAAAGAGCAACAACAAAAACATGCTGCTAGAGACGGGCTTATTTAAAATGCAAACTGATTGTGTGCCAGCAGGAGGCGCTGTGAGAGCGGTGGAACTAACGGTTTATCCGGTAACGGCTGTAAACAAAGCAGCTACGCTCATGAACGCTACTTTATCAGATACAATTAAAATGTCATCGAAACTTTTCTGAAGACAGTCGGTTCCCTTCAGAGATACATTCATATAAAACACCCGTGCTGTGTTATGATTTTGAAACGTGCAGTGCTCATGTTTATTCAACGAAGTCAAACGCCACAAATAAATCAATGCATGGGAAACACTGGTAATGTATATCGAAATATCGGAAATGTGTTTAAAAATCATATCACCGTTATTGAAAATAATTATATCGCGATACATATTGATATTGAATTATTGTCCAGCCCTAGTTTTATTGAACAAAACCTGTACATTGTGTAATATATCAAATGCCTGCAGAGGGGTGCCAACAACCTGGTACTTGTTTTTACACTTTACAGCACGATCTAATCCTTGTTTAATATTGACTAAACAACATTTAATTCCACTTTGGAATTCAGCACTTTTAAAAAGGGTGTTGTTTTACATGTCCATTGAGGAAGTTTAACTAAAGTATGTTACAGACATTTCATGAATACCCTAAAGAATCATACCAACTTGTGGAAAATAGGCATCCGCAGTGCTCGCAAAATTTCTAAATCGCTGGTAGCCCTTCAGGCAGACATTCTTCAGATTTTGGTAGCCCAAAATGAATTTAAGTAGCCCGAATATAAAAAAAAAAAAAAGACACCGGCTGAAATTCACTGCGGACAAATTAGCATGATTAAAAACTTAATTGATTGCTTTTTTTCTTCAAAGAACAATTTAATGTCCACTTAATCTGTAATATTTTGCCACTTCTTTATGATAGAAATGCTAGAGCCACTGTCATTCCTCGAACAAGAACATGTGGACATCAAAACATGCAAACTCAGAGTGAGGGTTTAAACTTTTGAACAGTTAGCATATTTAGAAAGATATTCTTCTGTATTCTGATGTATTCTTGTGTCGTGTTGGTGTAGGTTGATAAATGATTTGCCTTATAAATTTGATAGAATGGTGCACATTGTTCCCAGTTGAACATCATAAGCAACTTTACAATAGCACTATGCATTATTATGATTTTAAATGGGTTTTAATATTTCGTGCAGCCTCAGAAAATGGCCTAATAATGCTTTTCATGGATCCTCGACCGTGGAATGCACCACTTCTGGTAATTTGTCAGTTAATCGACACGTGTCAATGCAATCAACAATTTTTATAATAGATTTCTCGAATTTAATCAAGGAATAGTGACAGCTCTAAAAAAGGCATTTGTTCTGTCGTGTACTTAATTACTATGCAATATAAATATACTGTGTGGCCAAGATTGTGGACACCTGCTTCTAATTAAAAGGTTTGGCAATTCCAGATGCACACTGCCTTCGACTACTCTTGGGAAGATTTTATATCTGAGCTGTGATGTCACACAATCCAAAGTAGACAAAACAAATAAACTTTTTTGTTGTTGTTGTACAATTGGATTGTACTGCTGTGGTTGGGAGGTTGATTATCATGGTTTTTCTTGGATCAAAGCAGACTATTAATTGTTTGTTGTGTTTTTGGAGATGTCTGTAAAGTGTTACTAATTCATTATGTTCTGCAGAGCCTTCAGGAAGTCCTGCAAAGGATAATTTCAGGATGAACCGCTACAAGAACAAAGCACTCAACCTGGAGGAGATGCGTCGGAGAAGGGAGGAGGAAGGCATTCAGCTGAGGAAACAGAAACGAGAGCAACAGGTGACTGTCCACTTGCTTTGTTTATTTGTTTGTTTGTTTTCATGTTCCCTACATGACCTTTTCTTTAAAGGTAACTTGAAAATATAATAAACCCCATTGAATTTAATAAATATGTTTTTGGTTTTATTGTGCACAGTTGGTGCATTGAAAAAAATTCTTCATAATCATCCACCGTTAATATGACTTTTACACTACCATTCAAAACTTTGGGGTGTGTAATATTGTGAAATATTATTTGAAATAAGAATATTTTGTAACATTATCCCATACATCCTTTTCACATTGACTATGCTGATACATAAGTTAAATGGTCTTTGAATGCTGTTTCATGTTAACTTTAACTGTCACATCAATTGATGCAATTTGCACTATTGATTCTCTCTTTTTCTCTTGGCAGCTGTTTAAGAGGAGAAATGTGGAGCTGCTGGGTGAAGAAGGGGGAATGTTTGACAGTCCACTTACGGATTCCTACATCTCCTCCACCACAGCACCAGTGAGTTCAAACCCAAATGCATAGTTTGCTTTCTCCCATTATGTCACTTACAGGCAGAGGTAACACTGGGTCTGTTGTTAGTAGTGCATTATGACTCCTTAATTCAATAAGCACTATTGATTTGGACTTCTCAGAGGTGCAAACCTGGGTCGAACACTAATTACGGTCATTGATCTAGACCAAATTTGTCCTATGTGTTTTTTAGGATGGAGTAATTACAAGAGACATGGTTGAAATGCTCTTCTCAGAAGATCCTGAACTACAACTGGTCACAACACAGAGATTCAGAAAACTGCTTTCCAAAGGTATCTGGCACAAACACATGTCTGGAGTTGCCTAGAAGCGTGTCTGAGTTTTAATAAATCAATCTTCGTATTGTTCAGAACCAAACCCTCCTATTGACGAGGTTATAAGCACACCGGGAGTTGTGAATAGATTCGTTGAGTTCATTCAGAAAAGTACCAATTGCACTTTACAGGTGAGATGTGATGAAATAAAGCTAAACTAGTTTCTTCATGTAAAGTTATAAATTCAAGGTTTCTGGCATGTCTGCCAGCTCAGAAAAGCTGAAAAGAAAACAGGCAGCCAGTTTGTTATGGGCTATCTTGAGTCTGAAACTGTCATCCAGCGAGCTGTTTCAGTTTGCAGCCGGTTTCTATGTAGATAGCTAGCTATTTGAATAAGACCGCCTCCGAGCCATATACGGAGTCCAAAACAGCAATTCACGTGTCTTGTGTCGACACGCCCCACGGATGAGAGGGGTGGGGCGAACAGTAGCTCATTATTATTTAAAGAGACATGCACTGAAATGAGTCGCTGTGATCATGTTTTACATGGAATTAGCATGATTAAAAACTTAATTGATTGCTTTTTTTCTTCAAAGAACAAGTCAAGAGAGTAGGGGTGCAACGGATCACAAAACCCACGACTTGGATCATATTGCATTATCATATCAGATTTTGAGTAACAGATCGGATCATTTTGCAGATCAGCAAAAAAATATGGTTCTTTATTATTAAAATAACAGATACGTCTTTGATACCACATCAAAAACTAGTAGCATATAGGGATGTAACGATTCACTCAACCGGGTAGTTCAGGCTGTATCGTTATTCACGATACTGATTTCACAATACAATTTTCTCACAATTTTTCTTTTTAACAAAATGAGATCTAAGACAAATTATAAATGAAAAGGTGTCCTTTTATTATTTCTCCAACAAAATGCTGCACATTTCTTTGTGAAATTGAAATAGGTCAAATAATAAAACTAACCTACAATTTTAAAACAAATCCCAAATCAAATAATTAAATACAAATAAAATAAATCTCTTCATACAAACAAACTAAGACTTTGGCTGTGCTTTTTCCATTTAAAATCAGAGGCAACCACTGCATTTTAATCACGATCCAAACAAAGATGCTAAATACATGTTATTTAGATTGTATAATTTCGAAATTTGAAGCAAAAACAGAATGGTCTGATTTTAGCTTTGTGAATGAGACGCAAATGTCAAAAGGTGAAACGGTTGGTTTCAATTTTACAATTTCACAATATTATTGTTTTTACTGCACTTTTGATCAAATAAATGCAAATATATATATTAAAAAAAAGTATTTTAAAATCATTGAAAAAATCTTACCAACCCCAAACCTTTAAACAGTAGTGTACATTTCAGTAAAATCTCAACTATTATGTATCAAATGAAAGGATTGTTTTTACACATGACTATCAGTGACGTCATGTCATTGTGCATTGTGTTTTTTATTTTGTATTTTTATTTACGTATTTATTTATTTTTATAAATCAATCTAGACGCTAAGTGCCACTTAATCCACAGACTTCATATTGAAAGCTGTCTTTTACTCTTGTAGGTGTCTCCATGCCTGCCTGTGCTGTCCCGTCTTTTGTTCAGCAGTGATTCAGACCTGCTGGCTGATGCCTGTTGGGCTTTGTCCTATCTCTCTGATGGGCCCAATGAGAAGATCCAAGCAGTTATTGATTCAGGGGTCTGCAGGAGGCTGGTGGAGCTGCTCATGTGAGTCCGCTATTATGACTAAATTGTCATTTCTAAATCATATTGAAACTGCTACACTTTTAAGTTCCATAATGACATATTTCAATGTGAATCTGAATTTTCAGCAGGACATAAGGCCAAAGTGTCATAATTGACTTATGAGCTATATTCCAAATGATTGTGAAAACAAACTTTAAATAGGATCTGATTTGATTTCACATTATTTTTCTAGCTTAGTATTACAGTAGCAGAATGTGTATCGACAGATTTTTTAACTTTATTTGAGCTTTACCTAGGGCTGGACAATAATTCAATATCAATATGTATCGCGATATTATTTTTTTCAATAACAGTGATATGATTTTTAAACACATTTAGAATTCTCTTCTGCTCAACAAGGCTGCATTTATTTGATCCAAAGTACAGCAAAAACAGTAAAATTTTGAAATATTTTTACTATTTAAAATTGCTTTCTATTTCGAATATATTTTAAAATGTAATTTATTCCTGTGATCATACATAGCTAAATTTTCAGCATCATTACTCCAGTCTTCAGTGTCACATGATCCTTCAGAAATCATTCTAATATGCTGATTTGCTGATTATCAATATTTAAAACAGTTGAGTACATTTTTTTTTCAGGATTCTTTGATGAATAGAAAGATCCAAAGATCAGCATTTATCTGAAATAAAAAGCTTTTGTAACATTATACACTATTCCATTCAGTATAATTTTTATACATTTTTTGGGAAAGAAATTATAGAAATTAATAATTTTATTTAGCAAGGATGCTTGAAATTGATCAAAAGTGATGATAAAGGCATTTATAATGTTACAAAAGATTTCTATTTCAGGTAAATAGTGTTCATATCGATATCGGAATTATATCATATCGACCGAAATTAAGAAATATATCGTGATATAAATTTTGGCCATATCGTCCAGGCCTAGCTTTACCTAAACCAGTGGTTCTCAGAAAACATCCAACAGGTCTGCAGATAATGAAATTCTAATTTACATTAAAATGCGGGGAAAAAAACCCAAGATGCATACTGAAATAATTTTTCTTATAAATAACTGTCTTTATTGGGGGAAAATTTTTCTATATAATATATTGTTCTATTTATAATATAGTCGGCACAGCATCGTCTTTTAGTTTCAATCTTTCTGAAAATCCTGCGTCGATTTGTGCCTTGACTGTAAATTAATCCGCGGTAAAATGAAGTGAACAAAGGACCAAGTTCTGCTGGGATCAGAAGGAAGGCGATGCTAAGACTGTGTTTTTCCACAACTTGGCACTGCGCAGCGTCTTGTTGTCTTCGGAGCATCTTTATCATTTGGTTTCTGTGTAGACCTGCATTTGCCTCTCTCGATATTTACACTACATGCGTGAATTGGTTGGGCGGGGCTAAACAGGCAGTGATGTAGAAGCAGGCGTTGATCATCTTCTGCGGAGGCGGGGTTTAGCCACACTATTACGTCATAAAGTGGCACATTCCACAACCTGTAGTTTTGACAGATTGGCTTCAATATAAGCTGTTTTTAGACTAACGAGAAAGTTTTGAGTTCTGAAACTTACAGGATGTTTTTATAGTACAATGACCTCATATGTCAAAAGATCAAGGGAATTTTGATTTCTTAGTTCATGACCCCTTTAACACTAACGAAAACAAGGCTGTGAGGGATAGACTTTCAGTCTTTATAATGGCACGCTCTGTATAAAGGTTCTAAATCATGTAATTTTCAGAACTCTCACCTTTCAGAACTGTTTTATGGAGTTTTTGTCTACGGAAAGTTTTTTCAGAAAGACGTTTCATCAGCTGAATAATCAGTATATTGTTTAATAAAAGCTCACACTGTACTGCTATACTTTACAGCCTTGTTTTCATTCCTGTCAGAAATTAAATATGGCACTACCCTGACTAAGGTCTATATCAGGTGGCCTTCAAATATTGTGTTGGACAACTGGGGACCTTTGAGTCAAAAAGTTTGAGAACTGCTGTTCTTGATGACCTCTTTCCTCTTTTCTTGCAGGCATACCGATTACAAGGTGGCCTCTCCTGCTCTGAGGGCCGTTGGAAACATTGTTACAGGAGATGACATTCAGACACAGGTGTGTTAGTATGTGAGCAGATGTGTTTCTTCGTCTTCATGTATGATTATCTCTGGTTTCGAAAAGGAGATGGATGGTCTCCTTATGCTTCTATTCTCTCTGCCCTAGGTGGTGTTGAACTGCTCAGCTCTCCCCTGCCTCCTGCACCTGCTCAGTAGTGCCAAGGAATCCATCAGGAAGGAGGCCTGCTGGACTATCTCCAACATCACAGCGGGAAACAGAGCGCAGATTCAGGTACATCCTGACCCACACTCCACATCTGCTACCAAGATGCACACTCACAGGGCTCAGCTTGTTTATCGTGTGCGGCAGGGTTGCACGGCTGCGCCCTCAAACCTTCAAAGGAGTGGTCCTGTTTATAGTGTCTACTTTGGATTTATTTTTGGATTTAAGGATGATTTTAATCCTGTGTTCTTTTTCTCACCCGTCATCATCATCTTCTGCAGACCGTAATAGATGCAAACATCTTCCCAGTCTTGATAGATATCCTACAGAAAGCAGAATTCCGCACCAGGAAGGAGGCGGTGTGGGCGATCACTAATGCCACGTCAGGTGGCACACCTGAGCAGATCAGGTGAGCTCTGAGCATGTGCTTACAGACAGCTTGTTTTAAGCATCTTAAGCATTCAGACTTCTGACAAACTTGTCACAAAGCCTGGCATACCATTTACCATCGCTTTGAGAATCAGGTCATTGACATGGCGCTCATTTTTGGCGAGCTGCACGCCAAAACATGCTGATCAAATAACAACATAGGAACTGATATCATGGAGAGGACCCCTGCTGACCCTTATGACTGTGTATCAAGGTCATTGATTCACCTAAAATATCAGATAATTTGACCTTATGATGACAAGGCCAGGGTAGTTCAGGCTGTAAAATGTCATGTGGTGCGACTTCCTAGAGAATTACAAAAAATACCTTTTATCTTTGAAATATTAAAATAATAATAAAGATTTTTTTTTTCAGTGTGTACGGAAAATGAGTAATTCAGTTTAAACGTTTGATAAATTGTATAAACATTTTTCAAAACTGAATGAAAAACTAAGAATGAGAATGTATAAGAATCTAAGAATGTCTTTTAAAGTAGGTTTTTCCTTTTTCTTTTACCTTTTTCTTCTTCGTTTACCCTCTTATTTACAAGTACAAGTTTGATTGCAACATATAATCATTGCTGTTCATCGTCTGTTTGATTACATCATTAACTGAATTTTACCATACATTTCTGCCATATGTACATTAACTGACAGTCACCACTGATAAGCTACTACTAAATATATTGTAGAAACTTAATTTCCTGTAAAGCTGCTTTGCAACAATTTTTATCGTGAAAGTGCTATACAAATAAACTTGAATTGAATTATTGGTCAAAGACCCAATTGTAGGCCTACAGTTGGCTTTGCATTCATATTTACATAATTTTTCATGGCCAATCCTGATTTCCTATTGTTTGTTTGTTTTTTTGTTTTGTTTTTAATTAATCGGCCGATACAGATTGCTTTTTGCTTTCTGTCTTTAAGCAAGTAACAACAAAGAAATTAAAGAGAACATCTTGCTCTATTACAGACCAAACTGGCCTTAAAGAAAAAGAAATATAATTTGAAGTTAGAGGCAAACATTGCATTTTAATCATGATCCAAACAAAGATGCTACATGCATTTAGCATGAGCAGATGTTTTTGCGAATGTGTCTGAACAGTCTGACTTTATCTTTGTGAAATTATGTTACAAAAAACAGATGGGCTGAATGAAAATGTAAATTCACTCTCTGACAGTAGATGGCACTTGTGGAATAGAAGCGATGCAAGAAAATGCTAAAATTTTCCGGACTGTCAGTTCCCTTCAGAGATGCATTCATATAAACCTCAAAATGTCTGGTTACGATTGATGGCCAGTCGACTGGTGCATCTCGAATATTTACCCTCTTTACATGTATGTGTCAGACAGCCTCTTTTTGTCTGTGCGGGTGGTTCTTGGTCAAAATAAGCAGCAGTGTGTGCACAAACTCCTGATCGTCAATATGTCTTGCTTTTTGAGTCACAGTAGTCAAGTCACATGACATCATTGGTTGAGGGAGAATACAGATATAATTGAGTTAGAGCTGACCTCAGAAATAAATTCTCAAGATAGTTTAAGTTTAGTATGGGAGCCCATTTAAGCCCGTCTGGCCAAGTTGGGCCTTCTCAGAAGGCTATTAGCATGGCACAGCACAAGCGCTAATATTGGAGTTGTCACCAGGGAGCACTTGTGATGTGTTTATCCAGTTTGAATTGCAGTGTGGTTTTCATGCCGTCTAGTGAGATCGCACAGTCTGAAAGTAGCGGTGTGCTTAAAGTGTTAAAGTATCACTATGCACACTTACAGCAAATGGCTGCAGTTTTTATCAGACATGCACTTATGGTATTTAGCCACAGCCAAAACAGTGCTTCATTAAATGTATCAGCCTATAATGTGTACTTACTGAGTGCTTCCTTTGGCATAAGTGTAGCAACAACTTACCATATAAGATCTCATCTAATTGTGTTTATAATGTACGAGACATGTTTTTAACTGGAGTGTTACATAAGTGTGGTGTTATGACTTGACATTATTATTGATGTTTTATGAATAAGCTTTACTTTTGGATTGTGTCCAAGGCATTTTATTTCATCATTTATTTAAGATGTTTCTTGGTCTACTTTTAGACTGAAAGATAGTTTTGGCTGTAATAAAAATAGATTTAGCTTTCCTCCTGTCCTTCCACGTTCCACATTGCTTAAATGTTTTTTAGAATCAGTGAATAAGAAAGGAAACTGGAGCCAGTTGCTAGCTTGTTCACTTGCTGAACTTGGGATGTTTGACCCGTGCTCATGGTATCATTGTGTGTCTAAATCTGAAATGCAGATTCTGTTTTACACCGTGATTTGATGGGCATGGCTTGCCAAATATAAATTCTCTCATCTTCAGTTTTTTGTATTGAGGGAAATTAAATTGTTTATTTTCTGAGAAATTAAGTACTGAAGGACAAATATTGTCCCAGTCATACTGGTGCATGGCTAGTTTTACAAATTGATTCATTCCACGAATTACACAAAGCAGCAGAAGAGGGAATACATAATATTCTGTGCCAAAAAATAAATCAGTTATTGGACTTTATTTTCGAGGGCAGTATTCCAAGCACAATGTTTTTTGGATTGCATTTCGTATTCAATTAAGACAGAATATGGTGACACATGCTGTTGCTTATTATTCCCTTACCTGTTTCTTTTCTGTAGGTATCTGGTGAATTTGGGCTGCATTAAACCTCTTTGTGATCTTTTGACTGTGATGGACTCCAAGATCGTACTGGTGGCTTTGAATGGTTTGGAGAACATTCTCAGACTGGGAGAGCAGGAGGCCAAACAGAACGCCAGCGGCCTCAACCCTTACTGCAGTCTTATAGAGGAAGCCTATGGTAACATTTATTTTCACCAAACTATTGCTACAATTGCATGTGTTTTTTCGGAGATATCGTGTCAAAAATATGTTTAAAAATGGCAAAGGATTTGGGGAACGGCACTATTTTTGGAATTAGCAGTCCAAAATTAGAGAACGCTATATTAATTAGTTGTTTATTAGCATGCATATTACGAGTATATTGACTGTTTATTAGTACTTATAAAGAACATATGCTTTATTCCGCATGACCATATTTAAGATCCCTTAACCCTACACTACTATCCCTAAACAACTACAGCAACTACCTTACTATCAATAAGCAGTAGGGCTGTCAAAATGGCTGAAAAACTAAATTAAAATTTTGTACTTAAATATTATCAAAATTCGAATTATATTCGAATTTAAAATGCATAATTTCAGTTAGGGTGAAGAAAAGCTTTTGGCTTCTCTCCTGAAGCCACAAGAGGGCGCATCGAGCAAAATATTACTAATGCACGTTTATTCAAAGCATAAGATAACATGACTATCTGTGGAAAAAAGTGCATAATGTTTCAAATAATGTTTATAAACCAATTATAATTAAGTTGCTTAAACAACTATAAACAACAGCATCATGTATGTATGCATAGTTTAATACAAAGGGCGGAAAGCCAATCACACAGAGTGCATTTTTCATTTAAAAACGTGATGCAATGGGATGGGGAAAAAACCTGCCATAAAGTCTCAATGTATGTTTTTTTCAAAGTTAAACTTGCATACATTTTGTATGGCTTTCTAAACATGCGGCTCCTTTGTGCGAGATGCGAGTGCAACGGTAATAGATGTCCCTCAGGAAAATGTGCAAAATATGTGTTCTGTGTGAACGGCTTGGTTTGAGTTTTGATGTGAACAAGATCTTCTCCGCATTGATGTTCTCTTTTTCCGATATATTTTTAATGAACAACGCAGCAGTGCCGCATCTAGTGGCTTCAACTGGATAGGCTTACAAAAACATTATAATGCAACAACACTTACATCGTCATAGCATCTCGGAATAATGTTCTTTTTAGCAGCATCATATGACCCCTTTAAATTCGACAAATATTCGAAATTCGGGAAAAAAAATGTGACAGCCCTAATAAGCAGTAATTAGGAGTTTATTGAGGGAAAACTTGTATAGTGAGCGTGTTCCCTAATCTAAAGTGTTTCCAACAATGTTAAAAAGCGTTGTGCTGCTTGATTTTTTTTTTTTTTTCTTTTTATTTTTTTTTCTTTTAATTTTTTTTTTTGTGTATGGTAAAAACAAATCTTTTGAGCTTTCTATTTATCAATATACAAGTCTTTACTGGGACTTTTTTTTTTATCAATTTAGTGCATCCTTGCTGAATAAAAAAACATAAATAAATAAAAAACAATCAAAGAAATCTATGTAACGATCGCTGTTTTTCTCTCTCTTTCTCCTCTTGCCAGGTTTGGACAAAATCGAGTTCCTACAGAGTCATGAAAATCAGGAGATCTACCAGAAAGCCTTTGACCTCATCGAGCACTATTTTGGAGCAGAGGAAGAGGATGCCAGTCTGGCACCACAGGTGGATGAGAACCAGCAGCAGTTTCTTTTCCCGCAGCAGGAGGCCCCCATGGATGGCTTCCAGCTATAACCAACCTTCAGACACTTCCCGGCTGCCCCTTCCCTTTACACCCATCCCTGCACCCCATACCGGTACTAAAACATACGTCGGAAACACTCAGAGTGCAACCATTCATATCTGGGTGAAGCAAATTTTCGACCCGTGACACAGACTGATTTATTTATTCACTGAGGTGTGTCTCACACAGGGGAACATATCCACTGCCCTGTCACACACAAGAGAGCTGGATTTTAGTTTTTTTTTTTTTTTTTTTTTTTATGGGGAGGTAATGCCCTTTCACGAAAAGATAAGATAATTTTCTCATTTATTTAAAATCAGAAAATCTTGGTCTTCATCCTTATTCTTTTGATCCTGGTTTGTTTTTCATTATTTTGTGTTTATAGAATTCCTTTTTTTTTTTTTTTTTTTCATTATTCATATCCTGGTAGTTAAACAAGCCTGGTTGTGTTTGATATGCCCATCCTTTATAAACAAAACTCTAGCATAATATCTGCAGATGCGTTTCATGAGGATTTAAGCACTCTTCAAAGGATTTCTTAAGCCGTTTCAGTTCTCTTAGTATTAGTATTAGTATTAATTTCAGACCATGCTGGGTGTGGAGTTTATGTAGTCTATTTGACGTGGTGGTGGTGGGTGATGTTGAAATAATCCAGGTATTTTAGTAAAAGAGTAGCCTAACATAAAAAGTCATTACTGTTAAGAGACAATGACTGGAAAAGTGGGGCCCAAAGAGCCCATTTAGTAAAGATAATGCCCAGTTTCCTTTTGTTTAGTTTTTTCTTAACCAGGCAGGGGTGAAATATCTACTTGTAGGATGTTCGTGGTGTGCAGTGTTATGAATAACTCTTCTTTTGATCAAAGGCTTTAACTTTGAAATGTGATCTGGGGGAAGCAGACACATATCTGAGGTCCGGAGTGATGCACGTGATGGAGTCTTAATTCTGCTCTGTTATTCTCGTCATTAATTGCAGCACAGTAATTCTGGGTGGTTCAAGGTTTGTTCAGGGCAGCCCTCAGTATGTGCATGTTGGGGTTTTGCATGGTGTTCTGTTGGTATCAACAATCATTTTGTATCCCTTGCCAGATCTTCATTCAACAATTAGCTTGCGCTCATTAGATGGAGTAGTTCCGGTTTCTGTAGTTTTGCAGGTGCTGTCGGTATGGCAAGGAATGGTTATTTAAATAATGAAATATATGGGCAAAAGTATATATATAGATATTATGTTCTATTTGCACACACCTCGCACACATGCATACAAGACCAGCATACACTTCATAAACATGTACACAAACAGATTAGCATAAAACCGAGGGGAAATGACTTCCATAATCTCCAAAAATCTTTTTTTTTTTTTCTCATGTTGATTTGTTCCACCTTTTGGCACTTTTTGAGTTGATGCACTAAAAGTTGAACACACCTGGGTTTGATGTTTGACTGCTGTGGATTTCAGACAGAGGGAATGAAAAGTTTCAATATTAACCTCTCGGTTTACTTAAAAACTGTGAGTAAACTTTTCCTGTCATTATGGAAGCATTTTTCCTCTACCTCCATAATACACTGACAGAAGGGTGCTTCTCTAGGTGAATGCTAGGGGTATTTTGATTTAAGACGGGCCTGTATCGATGAAAACAAAGCGAGACGTTGACTGACGAATGCTCTGTGAAGTGAAAGGAAGTGATGCGACGCTCATATCAGCATTTGTTCTTAACAGAGCAGCAGCCTGTGTTTGGTTGACTAGTATCTAGAAGTCTTTTCCTTCTCCAAACATATTTAGTAAAGTAAGTAAACCATGCTTATTAAAATATATCTAATGGTCTACAAGACCACTGGGTGGGTTCATATGTTGATCAAATAAAAGCAAAGAAATTATCTATTAATGGAAATGCACTCCTATTCACAAAAGTGCCAATCAGACCAACAAAGACAAGAGGCTGAGTCGTATCAATCTGTCTTTGATTTTTTTTTTCCTATTTTATTTACTTGAATGTGTACATATATTGTGCAAATATTGCTGCTCTATTTTCTTATCTTACAAATTAGAGGTTACATTGCCTGCCACAGTTTCATTAGAGATGTGATGGTCTGTTTGTACACCAAATTGGTAAACTCAAAGGTATAAAGATAAAAATGCATAATTTATTGTGCTAGTTTAATTAATACTTTAAACCAAGGCCAATTCAATGTTGAAATGGTGTCTCAGTGTGTACTGTTTGCTTCGCTTGTGCTCCTTTTGGACGTAGTTCTATTGGCAGAGAGGAAGTGAGAAGGATACTAACGATTGAAGGAAAAACTCTGTAAATTCTTTTCTTTTTTTTTTTGTGTGTGTTTGTGTCCTGTTTATGAGCGCACTAGCTGACCATGTAGACCCAACTATGTTGTTTCAAGTCTGACTTCCCTCTGTAAGTAACCGTAGCACAATTACAGCAAATCCAAATCAGTTCAGGCCTCTTTCACAAATGTTTTGTTCTCATTTAAGGACATTCGCGTTAAGAAGCCAAAAGTTTATATATATATATATAAACAAATCTGGGTGTCATAGAGAAAAAACGAAGGGAAAAATTTTGAAAATGAATGTTTAGAGCCAATCTTTTTTTTTTTTTTTTTTTTCATTATTCATATCCTGGTAGTTAAACAAGCCTGGTTGTGTTTGATATGCCCATCCTTTATAAACAAAACTCTAGCATAATATCTGCAGATGCGTTTCATGAGGATTTAAGCACTCTTCAAAGGATTTCTTAAGCCGTTTCAGTTCTCTTAGTATTAGTATTAGTATTAATTTCAGACCATGCTGGGTGTGGAGTTTATGTAGTCTATTTGACGTGGTGGTGGTGGGTGATGTTGAAATAATCCAGGTATTTTAGTAAAAGAGTAGCCTAACATAAAAAGTCATTACTGTTAAGAGACAATGACTGGAAAAGTGGGGCCCAAAGAGCCCATTTAGTAAAGATAATGCCCAGTTTCCTTTTGTTTAGTTTTTTCTTAACCAGGCAGGGGTGAAATATCTACTTGTAGGATGTTCGTGGTGTGCAGTGTTATGAATAACTCTTCTTTTGATCAAAGGCTTTAACTTTGAAATGTGATCTGGGGGAAGCAGACACATATCTGAGGTCCGGAGTGATGCACGTGATGGAGTCTTAATTCTGCTCTGTTATTCTCGTCATTAATTGCAGCACAGTAATTCTGGGTGGTTCAAGGTTTGTTCAGGGCAGCCCTCAGTATGTGCATGTTGGGGTTTTGCATGGTGTTCTGTTGGTATCAACAATCATTTTGTATCCCTTGCCAGATCTTCATTCAACAATTAGCTTGCGCTCATTAGATGGAGTAGTTCCGGTTTCTGTAGTTTTGCAGGTGCTGTCGGTATGGCAAGGAATGGTTATTTAAATAATGAAATATATGGGCAAAAGTATATATATAGATATTATGTTCTATTTGCACACACCTCGCACACATGCATACAAGACCAGCATACACTTCATAAACATGTACACAAACAGATTAGCATAAAACCGAGGGGAAATGACTTCCATAATCTCCAAAAATCTTTTTTTTTTTTTCTCATGTTGATTTGTTCCACCTTTTGGCACTTTTTGAGTTGATGCACTAAAAGTTGAACACACCTGGGTTTGATGTTTGACTGCTGTGGATTTCAGACAGAGGGAATGAAAAGTTTCAATATTAACCTCTCGGTTTACTTAAAAACTGTGAGTAAACTTTTCCTGTCATTATGGAAGCATTTTTCCTCTACCTCCATAATACACTGACAGAAGGGTGCTTCTCTAGGTGAATGCTAGGGGTATTTTGATTTAAGACGGGCCTGTATCGATGAAAACAAAGCGAGACGTTGACTGACGAATGCTCTGTGAAGTGAAAGGAAGTGATGCGACGCTCATATCAGCATTTGTTCTTAACAGAGCAGCAGCCTGTGTTTGGTTGACTAGTATCTAGAAGTCTTTTCCTTCTCCAAACATATTTAGTAAAGTAAGTAAACCATGCTTATTAAAATATATCTAATGGTCTACAAGACCACTGGGTGGGTTCATATGTTGATCAAATAAAAGCAAAGAAATTATCTATTAATGGAAATGCACTCCTATTCACAAAAGTGCCAATCAGACCAACAAAGACAAGAGGCTGAGTCGTATCAATCTGTCTTTGATTTTTTTTTTCCTATTTTATTTACTTGAATGTGTACATATATTGTGCAAATATTGCTGCTCTATTTTCTTATCTTACAAATTAGAGGTTACATTGCCTGCCACAGTTTCATTAGAGATGTGATGGTCTGTTTGTACACCAAATTGGTAAACTCAAAGGTATAAAGATAAAAATGCATAATTTATTGTGCTAGTTTAATTAATACTTTAAACCAAGGCCAATTCAATGTTGAAATGGTGTCTCAGTGTGTACGGTTTGCTTCGCTTGTGCTCCTTTTGGACGTAGTTCTATTGGCAGAGAGGAAGTGAGAAGGATACTAACGATTGAAGGAAAAACTCTGTAAATTCTTTTCTTTTTTTTTTGTGTGTGTTTGTGTCCTGTTTATGAGCGCACTAGCTGACCATGTAGACCCAACTATGTTGTTTCAAGTCTGACTTCCCTCTGTAAGTAACCGTAGCACAATTACAGCAAATCCAAATCAGTTCAGGCCTCTTTCACAAATGTTTTGTTCTCATTTAAGGACATTCGCGTTAAGAAGCCAAAAGTTTATATATATATATATAAACAAATCTGGGTGTCATATGATCTGTGTACCTCGATGAACTACATTTAAACCAGAAATTTAACATTTATATTGTTATATTGGCAGTTTAAAGTTGCAGTCCTTGCACTGCTCTTTACTCCTTAAAATAACTTCTGAGAAGTGCAGAAAACAATAAAATATTTACAAAAGGCCACAAATAAGTGAAATTGAGTCTTTATGGTCTTCCGTCCTAGATCTTGTAGATGTTGACATTTGGAGACTTTTTTTCTCTTCCAAACCTGGAGCCGATGAATATGGCTGTGTCTAGTAATGCTGACTCACCTGTGTTTACAATGCTACATGTTTGTTAAGTACTTTTCATACACAATATTAAGACATGCCCAGGTGGATATTGTATCCTGGTTTGGTCATTTCTTTCCTTTTAAATGTATTTATATTTAAATATTTTTTCTTTCTTTCTTTTCCTCCTCTGCCTACAATTGCCCATACTGTGACTGACTTGACTTTACCGACGCTATGAATGAGTGACGGACACACAAA